TTTTTGGCGAATAGTCTTTCTCTTGCTCCATGTCCTCCATGTCATCAACTCCTTGACTTGGCGTTGGTAAAGGAGATGGCAATTCTATGCCAAATTTCAGTTGTTTGGCTACTGGTTCGTCATCATCATCATCAAAAGTATCCATTCTCCGTTTCACTGGATCCGGTGTTTTGATGCAGGAGAGCTTCACGTTTGCGTTTGTGAGCCGCTGGTTTGTGATCCTTAATTTTTCCTTGATCTTGGCAAGTTCTTCTTGATAGAGTGACACTGCAGCTGTCTTCATTGCAAGCTCTTTTGCCACAGAGCCGAGTTCTTTAACAAGCAAATCATTGGATGTTTTCAATCCAAGTACAACTGGCTTCAACTCATCCACGGATTTAGCAAGACCAATGGCTGTGGGGTTGGTATCGGTAAATTCAGTATTGCTTGCTAGGAAGCTGTCCATCACCTCCTTGGACCATTTCTCCAACAGCAACTCAGGGCTCATAGTTCTGTTGTATCTTGGATCCGAAATTTTGGCCTCCCTAGCTTTGGTTCGAAGATAACAAGAAATCCCTAGCTTTGGTTCGAAGATAACAAGAAACTGCATTTCTGTAACCAAGGTCGCTTGTCACTGTATTGTGATGGGCTATTAGGGAGGCTGCCGCAGCTCTCGTAACCGCATATAGTGACCCATCTGCCTTGAAGCTCGGTACTGAGATGCAGAACAGGGACGTCACCAGCTTTTCCACCGACTCTGGAAGCATATCAAGCGAGTACACTTTGATTTTTGATTCAAGCGACTCATATCGATGCATCGCCAACGCAGCAGGAATCCCTCTCACAACGTCAGCAGAATCCATATAGCTATCCATGGTCGTTCCCGTAGAGTGACCAGTTCGAGCAGCAGCACGAAGAGTGGTCATTGTAGGATGGCTTGCAAGATGTGTAATTCCGCCAATTCGCAAAGATTTTGCAGTGTATTGACTTGTAATTTCGTCGGGAGTTTTGGGGGGCAGGTTTGTTTTGATGATACTTCCAACCTTCTTGGCAACACTGTTGTTTCCAATCTTTTGAAGAGATGGAAAGAGGAAGTCATGGTGACCGTCAGCCTGCTGTGTTTCATTGCGGTACAAGCCATCTTCAAGGGCAAAGTAACATGCAATTGTGTGATAGAAACAAACGAGGTATGTTAGAATAAAGCAAAATGTGCTCTATCGTGAGTGCCTTTAGCGCTCAGAACAAACTCTCTGCAATCTAAATTCGTAATCGACTGTACAACACTTTCACGACAATAGTTCTCCTGTGTCTAGG